GTCATAATAATAATATTAAACACCCTGTCTGCTGACAGTCATCAACTCTTCTCTCTGGTATTCTTGACCAGAAATACCCTGCAGAAACTCATAAGCAGGCCTAAGCATTTAACAGTCTAACTAGACATCCTATCTCCACTAAACATTTCTAATACATAAAGTATCTATCCAATTTCTATCTGACTAAAAATACCTAACATAATGAATCCTAAAACCAAATCTTAACCCTCAAAGAGCTATTTCAGAAAGTGAGGGCCAGCCAAAATGTCCTCACTCTGTAGCACAAAATACTTTTTTGGTCCTCCCTATGTAACAAGAACACGCACACTTAGGAATGATTCAGCTCAAAGGTATTCAGTTTGAATCTACCACTCTTGACATTTGTATTGCTTTCTTTTGGAGTCCATGTCTAACCACGTGTTTGAGTAAAGATCAGTCTCTCCTGCATCAAGGATAAGAGGCAGCTTTACTAATTTAAAGAACCTGCTGACAGTGGGAATACATTTGGGAATCAAATTACCCTGTCTTTGTTTATGTGTAGTGGTATTAATCGAGGCTAGACAGGTCACATATCCACAGTACTGGGCATTGAAATTCTAGATTAAAAGTTGTCAATAACTATTAATGTAGTTGTCTCATGCTCAAATGACTTCTTCTATAACCGGGTCTGTGGACACTTGTCTTTAAAAGAAAACCTGACAAACCACCCTGACTGCCAGATGTTGCCGTTGTGGAAACCAAGCATGAAAGGATGTGTTGTGTGAATACTGCTGGGATTTAATTTTGTCTGTCATGTGTGTCCAATGGAAGCCCAACATGTCCTGTTTATACCACAGTATAATTTCTATTATATGATAAAAGTTATTAAATTTTTGTTATGTTATCATTTTGTTTCAGATAGATGGGGAAATATTTCCAGTGTAGGAGGGTTTAACTCTCCATGCAAAATCAGAATGTTGTGGTAGACAGTAATGTCATTGGAAACACAGAGCAAACAGTTATTTGGACAAAAAATATAAATGTGTAGTACCTAAATACTTAACATAAACAGAGCTTTTCTACTTGTCACGTTACATAATCAGTGTTATCCTTAAACTATCTTTGTCGTTGAGAAATTATTATTTTGAAGAAGAAGAAGATATACAAATTGACTTTTTTATGCTTCATCAAAACAAGCTTCAGCATAAATTCAGCTGCAGAGATACAGTATGTATTTACAATACAGGCCTGGCGTTAGCAATTCATGCTTCTAAAAATTATCTGAAAGTTGAAGAGGTGTGTAAACCAGCTTTATGCTTCAAGTTGGTAGCAAAATATCAGTTGTTGTGCCTGCACCTACCATTGCTTATTAAGCTCATTAGCTACTGAGACTGGGCAGACGATGACGCTACAGAGGCTGTTCACCATTTGATATATGAGGCTAAGTCTATCTTGGATTTTTACTGCCTTTGGTAAAGAAAATCAGTCAGTTGAGAAAAGGAGATTCTGGACTAGTAATAAAAATATTTATTAATATTCCAAATTGTTAGATACTGAGAATAGCAGCACACATTTTAGACAGTAATTAATTTGGATCTTGACTTGTAGGCATTAGCAAAATTGCTTGGTACCACTTTAAAATAGGCGCTGCTTTTCTTATAAGTAATACATGTTGCTTTATAGCATTTGTAATAGTAGGCCATTTCCACTTAAAACATTTTAAAATTGCACAGCAGCAAAGTCAGAGACAACTGAATTCCATTTTGCTGCTTCAGTTTCACAGTCACACTGTCATCAATTACTGGGACACAAATGGAGTCATGTTCGTGTTATTAGTAACCCCTTTATTTTCCCAATATAACAAGTCAAAATGCCTGCGGTGAAGCAGATCTGCTGTATTGTAATCAATTTGAAACACTAAGTTATAGTGTCTTAAAATATCAGATAATTTTGAACCATGACTCTCTCAGATATTTCTGAGGGACTGATAGGAATCTGATCAAAGTGTACTGGAGCCCCTGCTTGTTAGTAATGATGAAGTGCTTTTGTCTGCATTACAGTAACACAAATCATTGTGTCAGACTGAGGAATTAGTGAGAAAGACACCATATACGTAGTATATATGCTCCTCTGCTTGCTTATTGTTCAGAATAGAGGTGAAAATTATAACGATATGGCAGTGAATTTGCAGAAATAGAAATAAGAATCATTAGAAGTGACAAGCAGCAAATCAGTCTGAGACAAGAGAAGAAATAAATGATGCTAAGTGTGCACATGATGTTTTAAAAGATTCACATCGTTTTGAAAAGGACATTTGTCCAAAAACTAGGTTAAGTCTGCTCACCATTAGTCCAGCTTCAGAGGATCGGATGAAACCATGCCAACAGCTTGACCACTGACTAATCAGATCACTGGGAAATCTGAGTGACAGGGACAAAGTCTACATTAATATGATTAAATAGATATTTCTATAAAGCAGTCATAGCGTTGTGCTGTTTCTGGCTTTTGTGGGTGACTCAGGTTTAGGTTTCTAACAAACTGAGGAAGTCTACAGCCTCCATGATGATTACGTTGTATTTTAAGTGCACAAAGATGAATTTCTTCCAACTGAATTCCTCACTGTGTCAGTGCTTTTACAGACTTCCCTCGCTGCAGCTCACAATGACATGAGGACACTTTGATGATGGTGTTTTATTAAGAAAAACAATCCATGCACTTAAATATTTCCCATAATTATAAATGAGCCCATGACTTTAGGTGTAACTCCTCTCTGTTGTCCTGTCCTCTAACAGCATAAACTGTTTTACCTTAGTCCGTTTTAATTAACACATGTTCAATCTAGTTTCTTTGTCTTCAGACAAAAGAGAAAATGATACTTATTCAGTAACACCCTTATATGAATAATGCACTAATTTATGGTAGATTTGTAGCCTTTATTTTATATTTGAAAAATATTTCTTGTCTTTTTATTCTGTTCTAGTTATGTGACAATATTCACAGTTCACCCGCCATAACATCACTTTTGCTCTGGCTCTAAGTGATTTTCCCCGCAGGTGTCACTGTTCCATCTCATATTATAATCAGTACTTCATTCATGGTCCTGGTGAGGTTGCTTCTATTTAACACGCCCGCGTCTTTCACATGAACACACTTGTAGCCCGACAGGAAAGCCCGGACTTAACAGAGCCAGTTGAGAACTGGTTTGTTGTGCCAGTTATCCAGGACGGACAATGTTAGGCTCAGTGAAGCCCGATAGCCCCAAGAGAGGCAGACTGAGTTCAACTTGCATCATGGAACAGGCCTCAGGAAGTGTGGTACATTACATGAAATGGTGACAATGTGAATGCATATGTGGGCTACCAAATGTTGGGCTCATTACAGCGAGCAAATCTAGTGCTGCTTTTGTGTGACTAAATAAGCGGTGTGTTGTTTGATAAACACAATGCATATACATTTGAATAGATAAACTGTGTGCCTTTATTGTAAGCGGCGGTGTTAGCTACAGTGAGTTGTTTTGCATCTGAGCTTTAGCTGTTTTAATGAATCTTATGGCAGTAGCTTGAAAGCTAATTCAGTATCCAGAGATTTCTAAACTCAGGTGAAAACAGGATTTTATGCTGCAAAAAACAATGTCTGTGATAGAATAGAGAATCTGTGTTGGTGTATGTAATCTTTAAAAAAAAATAATGTATTTCTCAATAAGTTATTTAGTCCCATGTGTAGCCTTATGATCTGCATTTCCTGAACTCTAGTGAAAACTTGTGCCAAAGCAGTGAGATCATTCTGCTTGGTTCCAGTCCACTTTACAGTAGCTGATATTTTAAAATTGATGAAGTAATATCATTACAGGTTTAATGACGTATTTAGAAGAATGTTTTTGCATATTTATGCTGTTTGCTCACTATACATGATGTGTTGTATGCATCCATGTCTATGAAGCAATTCCTAGTTGTAAAGGCTGTGAGACAGTTCACATCTGTGAGTTTAATATATTTAATGAAGCTCAGCTCCAAATGTGTCAGTTTAATTATTGTGCTTGCTGAGTGTATGTGTCTTGTGTGTTCCTCTTCTACAGACAAGGTGCCTCATTTCTCTCGGCTAGGTGATGTGGAAGTTAATGCCGGGCAGAATGCCTCGTTCCAGTGTGTCGCCACAGGCAAAGTCTCTGAGACTGAGCCCTTCCTCCTGGAGGTGAGAAGAAGAGAATGTGTGTGTGTGTGTGTGTGTGTGTGTGTGTGTGTGAGTGTGTTTTATCTTTGCTAGAACAGCATCTGAATAATAGAAGAGAAATCGGGGGTTGTAGAAAAAAAGATTCAACATTCAAAATAAAATGAAAGATGTTTTACATCCTGGACATTTATCCAGTGCCGCTTGCAGTAGTTACATTTACATGCATGGCTGCTGGTCATGCTCCTATTACATTCTTATTCAGATTGCTATTTACTTGAGCTTTTTATACTGTGATTGAGAAGGTCATGACACATACCCCACCAGCAACATTTGGTTGCCAGTGACCATGCTCTTTGACTAAGCAGTGACACTACACTCAAAGCAAAATGGTTCTCAGTAATTACTTTAGTAAATGCTTTTTCAATGCGGTGGTGCTAGTCTTTTTGTCAGGACTAGGCATGAACCCTGAATGGGATCTATAACTCTATTAACACTTAAAGGGACTTTCCTCCTTATTTACACAAGTGTGTTTCCATCCATCATTTTCAGTTTGCATTTAAAAAACCTGAGTGAAAATGTAGGAAAGTTTTTATGCTTAGCTAAGGCGAAAAGCTGGTATAATGTTCAAGGCAAAATGTGACAGCGCAGTGGAAAGATGACAAAGCATGTGAGTTAAACCTTGAGGGAAACGTGTTTTTTTACAGTAAATTAACACATGAAACAGAAACATATATTTCCATTATGTTTTTCACTGTTTTCCTGGGGCTCTTCTAATTGCACCATTTCATTGTGTCCTCTTTTCCTGCAATGGTTTAATGGCACCTGACCAAAGAATAAGTGGAACCAGTTTGTTTATATCAGTGAAGCACCTCCTAATATTAATAATAACAACAAAATGTGCTCGTGCAAATGGGTCCATTGTGAAAAATTACATCCACAGCAACACAAAATGTGTCCTAAAATCCTTGATCTGGACTGGACCCGGATCATCTTTTAGGGTATGATAGGTAGTTATACTGTGCATCTTACCCGAACATTTTAGGGTTCTACCTTCATTATGGGCCAAGTTAAGGCAGAAAATATGAAGAATCCAGAATCTTAAATGAAAATCCAAATGAAATTTGCTCTGGTGATAGACAGTACCAGCCTACATATGTGTGTCAAATTTCAAAACATTTTGATAAATAAAACAAAAGTTTCCCTGTGTTTGGTTACTTTTTGTGACCTTGACCTTTGACCCTTTTCAGCCAAATATCAACAAGATGCCGCTTACAGTACCCGAATACTACAAAACGGTATTTCGATGTTCTGTATGTCCTGCACATATGGTGAATTGATAATATAATCCTTGAACCTTGAACAAAGACACTCTAAAAGGATTTGGTCAGACACTGTACTCCTGATATTTGCATGAAACCAGTGGATGAAAATTTGAACTGTTGGATAAAAACCTGACCAGAGACTCAGTGAGAGTTGTGAAGTCTGAAATAATTACTGAAGTGACATGTCTTTCATATTTTGGTCTTGGATATACTGTACATTTGTAATGAAACACCTGCATTTCAGGTTCAGGCTAAGGGTTTGGAGTTTGAAAGTTATAGGCATTTACCAGGTGTTAAGGGTTTTAGAGAGAAGACAGAGTAGTTGCATTATGGGAAACGTAAGATAGATTATAGTGGAGCTAGAGTCATGCTGTATATGGAACTATGTAAATCAGGATTATCTTGCCTCCCTATTAAAATCTGTCCCTATAAGTCCACCAGTAAAGCACTACATTGAATTTATGTTGATATTCAAAATAGAAATGCAGAGAGCTGGAGTCATCTCCAGTGTATAGTAGTCATTAAAGGTCACGGGAGCTATTATCTTAAGTGTCAGTAATAATACTGTAACTTAAATTTGTTAAATAATACACTAGGTTTGTGACTCAGTTTGTCTGTAAAGGTTGTGTTGTTGCACAAATGAGTCATTTGACGGTTTGGGAGATTAAGTTTGTGCCTCTGCCTCTGTACCTTTTTGATTGCGCTGGCATTTAGTTTACTAAAGCCCCCGAAGTCATTTTTCTCACACAACAACTGAAAATAGTTTCAAATTTCCTAGTTTGAATATGAGCTACTGCCTGTACTGTTCCTCTGGTCTCGAAGCGTGCACATCTAACTGCTTCTGAAATGATGGCAGCAGGAAGAAGGTGCTTTGCAAATGAGCTCTTAGTATATGTGGTGATCCATCACTTGTGTTTCCAACTGATTTTATTTCACACCCCTGTCTCATCTCTCTGAATTGAAGCCTTTGAAGAAAATCAGCATGCGAAAGAACATTTTTAGGTTCAGAGTTTGCAAATTTGTTGACGGAGTTACAGGCACACCCACATGGAAAGATGCAAACAAACAATACAAGGCTTGTTTTTTGTAAACTGACAAATATTCTGCAGTGAACTTCTCTGCTAAAGTCAGCACTTACCACAACTTCCTTTTCTCATTAAGGAAAAAAATGATAACATTAGAAAAAAGAGATCACAAACCATTATTTGCTTCTGTTCCTCCATTTGTCGTTCGGAGCCTGTGTGAGTCTGCTAATTGCTGCTTTGTGTTTGATCTCCCTGGCGCGGTGGAGGTCTTCTCTGGATCAGTCTGGAGCTGCACTCCTCCTTCCTTCCTTCTATTTAGGTAGTCCAAGCAAATTATTAGCCTGATAGTTCTTAGTCGTTTAGCATCATATTTTCTTTTCTGTTCTCTGGTTCAGATGTTTTTTACTGTAGATCTTTAACATAAATGTGTTCACACCAGAATTTGTTATTGCACACCCTTAATCACTTTATGATGTTGGGCTCGCTGCAAGACAGGAATGGCAGCCGACTTGGCAACCTGAAGGATTTATTTGTTTCAAGGCCTTGCAGGTGGGCTTAAAAGTTGATGTAAAAATGTTTGGAGGTTATATAAGAGAGCAGCCAGTGGTATATTGATACCACAGCTAAAGGTAAAATGAGCTCTAATGTGCACCTTTAGGCAGTAGTACACAACCACTGTACACCTGAGTTTCCCCCCTATCCTCCTAAACCAATTCAAACATGCAGATGCCAAACCAACTTACTTGTGAAAAGTGTGAGCAGGTGACATCTTACATAATAATCTGTTTATTCTGTGAGAGTGCTGCATATATTGTAGCTTGCACCTGGAACAGCTCATTGCAAGTGCTGGCCTCTGATTTCCTCTTCCACTGGCTGAGCCAATTGCCAGTGTGCCTGGAGCGCTGACACATTAGTATGGCGAGAGATGTGGAGATGTCAGCTCGAGCCCCTGTGCCGGAAATAACAACCCAGGACGCCTATGTCACCAGTGTCAGGGAGGCTGTGAATACGGGCCTCAAAGAGCACCGAGATACAGAGAAGGCAGAGGAGAAAGAGGAAGTTCCAGGGGAGGTTGGAGAGGACGAAGGAATTATTATTAAAATGCTGTGGCAGAATGCTTAGAAAAGTTAAGCTTTTAATAAGTAATGATAATCATAAAATGATTTGTGTGTTTTGTTTGACATAATCATTAGTGAATGTGTTAAATAAAATGTGAAATGGTTGTATTGAAAGGACGGGGAAAACTGATTTTACATCTAACAGAGTGGAAAGTACAGAATCACACGAGGAAGTAGACACACATCCCTAAAATGAGGAATGTTCATGTGTGCCTGCCATACAGAAGAGACACACACCATATTGAGGAAGGAACAAAAATGATGTTTAAGCACAAAAGTGAAGGTTTGACTTAAAATTGTTTGATCAATGTCTAATCAATGATAATCCATGTTTAGTCAAAGTAAAGTATTTAAAATATAAGATTTATGTTCTGATTTTAAGGTATTGATGGTTTTGTGTGAAACTAGTGTGTGATTCTGATTGTTCTGTTAAAAAGCAATAATGGAAATTTGGTATTTCAGTCAGATGTGAGTTTCTTGTATTTTTGTTATGTACTCAGATGGTTTAGTTTTCTAGAAAAGAGGAACTAGAATCCAAAGCTGGATCACGGTGAGGCGGAGGCCAGTTACGGGCAGTGGGCTTGGACTGAAAAATATGCAATACTTCAGAACAATATGATTTTGCACGCCAAATAAGGTATCAACTGCAAACTGCGGCATCTGGTTGGATGAGCGGACAAGGACAACTGACCGAGAATCCTATAAAAACCAAGGCAAAAAGAAGAACGGGGGTCTTTTCTCATCGCTGTGGCTGAAGGCTCTGTCCAGTTAACCATCTGACTTCCAGGAGACCGAGGACTGCGGAGAAGCAGTCCGGGGAGAGGGCACCCCTCTGGGGGTGCTCCCCCGCAGGCATCGGCCTGTGGGGGTGAGAAGCATGCCAACGAGAGAGTGAGCCCCTTTTTGGGGTGTTTGAAAACAGGCATCGGCCTATCAGAACAGGAGGAAGCATGGGATGATGAAACTGCGGCAGAGCCTCACAGTTCAGCAGAGAAACTGAATTCCTGCTTCAGGAAGAAATCATGGATTTAACAAAAAGCCAAAACCCACCTGGCCTGGTGGGGAAAGGATGTCTTGAAAACAAGACAGTTTTAGACATTTTCATGTCTTTATGAAGATTTGGATGAAAAGAAGACAGTTTTAGACATTCTCATGTCTTTGTGAAGATTTGGACCAAAGGAAGACAGCTTTAGACATTTTCATGTCTTTTATGCTTTCCTTAGTCACCCAAGATTAGACCAAGAAAAACATTGTTTATCTGAATTAGTCCCATTTCTCTCTTCAGAGTTTTGAGGATTGAACTGGATGTGCTCTGATTTTTATTTGAAAAATTCTTTTCCCTTGTGAAAGCTTGAATCATGGCAAAAAGGAAAAAAGAGGAACAAGTGATTGCCCAAATCAGCCACCGCCCGCCTAGAGCCAGCTGAGGATCGGTGACGGGAGACCTTTGACTTTTTATTCAGATCAAGAGCTTAGCTCATCCATAATGATTTTAATCAGTATGATCATTCTAAATTTATGATTGGAATTGGTAGTTATTGATTTATTTAGATTGGAAGCCAATTACTGATGATTTTAAGGTTTATATTTTATTGCTTGTTGCTTTGCTGTAGCTCTGTTAAGCTTCTATATAAAATTCCTGAAAAAAGTTTATTACTCTCTGTGGTTATTGAGTCAAGTTTGATGTTATTGACATTCCTATAATTTTGTTGAGTTTTCTCAGTGTTTGTTTACCTAATTCCCAGTGAGTTGGGGTTACATAAGTCTTAGTGAGTGTGTGAGGTGGCATAACAGTTCACAGAGTTGACAGAGGGCCCAGACTGAACTGCTAAAATGACTTTTAGACAGCTTCATCAGGAAAGGGCTTATCTAAAATATCCAGCTGTTTACTGGTTACACAATACACACTATTCTTTAAACATCCTATCCTTAATAACATCTTAGGTCAACACACTGTGCAAAACAAATAATATGGCCTTAAGTGTCCAGTGACACAGCTTTCATTGGTTATTTCAGACTAAACTTAACACTTCCTCAAAGAGCCAGAGTGTACTGGCTTATAAAAAGTTCTCAGTACAGCGATATCTGAGGGTTTAAGGAGGTAGCTGCCACAATAAACTGCAGGTTGTTGTTAT